AGGTCGTTGAGGCAAACAAATTGTAATATATAGGCATCATCCTTCATACAAAGCTTCTTTAGAACTATGACGACAAGAAATCCTGAGCTTGCAGTTCATGAATGCTGAGATAAATATCCAGCAGTAATCTATGGTGCGATTGCTTAGACCTCGAGACATACCCTACAAGGCCGTTGTATGCGTGGTTGTCCGATGACAGCAATCGAAGGAAATCTCCAACTTCCATCATTGCATATAACCATAGAATAGGCTGTCAAAAGAACTCTTCTAACCATAGCCATAGATGGTGTAGAAAAATGAAAGGTGATGTCATCAATCCAATCTCCCAGATATGATATGAGTAGGACTATAAAATTTTTAATCAAACTGGGAAACAATGTAATCTGAGGTAAATCCACTCTGGAGGCATACCTCAAAGCGAACAATTTGCGGACGGCTCAAAGGAGCAGCATATGTAATGTCTTCGATAGATACAAGGATTAACATACCAATACCAATGGGTCCTCACCAATACATTCGGTCATCTTTCAGCCGTTATTTTTCGTAGGCCAACACACTACAAAAATTCCGTTACGGACTAGTACTTATGAAATTTGATCTGTGTCCCTAACAAGAACAGATATGGTCCCAAACTGTTCCCCAACTGGTTCGAACTACTGCCAAAATGATCCCGAAGAGCAAAGATTTTTTACAATACAAAACTCCGTAAGGAAAAGTTGTAGATTTTGTGCTGGGTTACACAAGATGCTGTTAAAAATTTTCTCCTAGGTTAACGCAAATTTTATCATACCGAGAACAGAGATGTTTACACAACAAAAATTATCTCAAAAAGAAGTGAATAAAATAAAAGAACGTCACTCATTAGATAAGACATGACTAGGTCCGGCGAAGTGCCAAGTATTCTCACTGAACATTGCAGGATAAAAGTGCTTCTCTGCAAACCACAAATTTGGTCTACCGAATTCGTAACTCTTACGACCGGGCTGTAGAAGCGCCTGGTTATCGACTTCTGGAGTTCCACGTAGTCAACAGGAGAAAGCTCTCTAGCAAAGTCAGAAGATATTGTTGGCTCTTTACATTAAGCATTAAATTGCAGCACCCTTTAGACAACTCCATCACCTTCTGTGGCAACGTGGTCATCTTCGGCTCCGTCGCCAATTCCAAGCGCCATCTACAGCCATTACCTTGGCTAAGTCTTATCTTACTTCTGGCTGTGCCCTGACATTTTGGCAATTGCTGTCGTCACGCATTTATGTCGCGTCTTTTGTGAAAATAATTTCACACATTTCTTTTTCTTTTATCCACAACTTGTGCCAACTTTAATATTCAATTTGTAGCTCCTCTTATTCTCGCTATGATGCCTAGTATTTTGTTGTTATTTTTATTCCTTTGTGGAAATAATAAAATACGACCAAGCATTTGAATGCAAAGTCTGTCTTTGTTTTGTCAGTTTGGCTTTATAGGCGTGGGACTTGTTGTTTCGTTAGGTCGCCGCTAATCACAGTCCAGTCTAGCTGTTGCTGTAGCTTTTTGTTTGGAAAGAAAGAAAGAAAATCAACAAAAATCGTAGAGTGATTTTGTTGCTTATTTAGATGCCAACAGCGTGACAAAAGTATGTATTGACGCGTCGTATACTAAGCTCAGCTCAGCTCAGCTCAGCTCAATGTGGCACTGTGTGAGCACGCGCATGCGCACCTTCTCCCTAAGAGTGCAAGCGCCAAGCGTGATGCTGTGAAATTAGCCGCAGGACGAACGATTAATGTCAATCATTATGTTAACGTTTGTGCGGCATAAACGAATTTATGACCCAATTGCTGGTGTTGTTCGATAGTTGTAGAATTTGTTTTAAACCCATGAAGGTAATAATACTGATGTCTTATATTGAATTTCCCCATTTGGTGTTCGATTGCATTTGATTGATTTGTACTACATATTGGGAAGGTGAATTTAAAGAGAAAATCTCCTCCTCAGTGATTAAGGTGGAAGGTTTGCCTTCCTTTTTTTTGGCGGGTAGGGTTCGATCTACCGATAGACCTAGTGAACGGTAGTTGCGATTGGTCCATTTACCCATTGTGCAAAGTGTGTTACATTAGGCATCTTCACATATTTGACTTAGGTTGGGTATTTCGGATAGGCAGTTGAAGTAGGTTGGACTGGAATGGAATTGTGGATGGCCGCAAAAACCAAAAACAATTTTTTCAAGCGCACAGGCAGTATTTTCCATTGCATATAGGTGAGAATGGAATTGCTCCTCTGCACACTTACCGCACTCCTTTATGAATCTTGGCAGTTTGTCGAGGGAAAGTTAATGTAGCTCGTTCATTCTCAATGCATCCAACCCAAAAATCTATCATCTAAGTGCGGCGAAGGCTGGAAAGCGACAAAGAAAATGTTCTCTACTATCCAAATCTTCCAAAATAAGACGTACACAGTGGATCGTCGATGATGCCTATGGTGACCATATGCCGTTCCTAAGTATTGCACGCTGTAATCAGTCCTATCAGGGATCGTCGATCATTCCTTCTGTGTCTGAGAAGGAGTTTTGCTACCCGCCTGAGGGGCCTTTTCAGGAAACACTTGGTAGTTTTGCAGGCGTCAATACAACAGCAATAGCTCTCATGTAGTGCTAATAAAATTCTTGATGTATCCGATTGTTCCCGTCTTAAAATTGGCTCCGGTAAAATTGGACGCTCCAAGGAACCGCAGCTCGCCGATTCATCGCCCAGTTCGTTGGCTAGAATACCATGGTGTCTGTAGATATATAGATAATTAATAGAGGTATCCACTGCGACCAAGAGATCTTTTATGCCCTCAACTATTTGCAGTACCTCATCTAATCCTAGAGAGCCCAAAATTTTAGGAGATATCGAGGGATTTGCGGTTGTATTAATTCGCCACTTGGCCAGTATTGGCCGTCTTCTCACGACCGCCTCGCATTCGCGAAGCAGGTGCATAGGAGTCTCCTCAGTTACATCGCAGACACGACATAAGTCGTTTGACCAGATCTCTAACTTGTGCAGGTGACCTCTCTGTCTGCAGTGACCCATCAGAACACCTGTTATTATCCTTAACTTTCCTTTGGAGAGATTGATAATTGCCCTATACCTCATAAAGTTGTAACCCCCAGTAGCCGTTTTCTCATTACGGTAATTCCTACGTAGGTTAATCTCTGCACACAGACTGATGGCATAGACCTCCGCTTGGAAGATACTCGGGTATGCCCTCAAGGGTACCTAGAAATGTAGCCTTGGCCTGGCCAGCCCCAAAGCCTTCTGGTGTCTTCGAGCCGTCTGTGTACCATTGCAACGAGCTCGATGAGATTTGCCTGGTGTCTGTCACCTTCAGTATTGCAAAGGCTTCCGATTGAAAAACCATTGTCATTGCACCCAGCAGTAAAGCATTTGAAATTACAGTCCAAATTCGGGTCTACGTAACCGGAACAACCCAAATTTATATCTGGCCAAGGACTGTCAATCCAGCAAAACTCCCCAAAAACTCTTTGGGGCACTTGTATGCTGCCACAACAACAACAACAGCCCAAATTCCACCCAACTCCAGTACGATTTTCAGTCTTTGAAAGCTTTCACCGAGCTTCCCAAGAGATTGTCTGGATCTCTACATTGCTCTATTGTCTCAGTTTGTCATTAAGTCCCAAAAAGAAAGGATATTGTTCTGAGAACCTTTTAACCAACCATCTGTGTCATCCAGAACGCCGATTATCGTTCCACATTCCAAAAGAATTGAAAGGTGGCAAATCCAACAAATTATTAAGAGCCGATCCTGACGTTGCACTCATGGCGCTCGTAATTCCTATACATACGCTGCTTTCTAACCTAATTAGCATGGAAACAGTTGTTATGTCCATGGTTCTACGCCACCATACTGTCTACAGCAGAGTACGTGACGATTGGTCACGGACAGATCCCACAGAAGCTGCACGCTTCCTAGGGTTGCCGTTAGTGGAACTTGACGACAACGACTGAGATACCAACCGATCTGGGCGGGGTTGTTGTAGCCGCTACAACAACAACAACAACAACGATTGGTCTGACTAAAGCTATAAACATCCAAAATACCATAGCCGGACCCAGACCCTAGGTATTCCTAAAGGTTTTCCAATTTTGTCCGAAAACTTTCATTGTTCCACTTACCTTCAGCTCGACGTAAGTTATCTATGTCAGTCATGTTGCTTCAGCATGTTTTGCTTCGCCCAATGCATCTCCTCCTTCCAGTCACACGCGACTGCACAAGCCTATAAAGTTTTCGTGATATTTACGCTCGACATTGCAGCGTCATCGTATCGTATGGCTGAGTTCATTCAGAAGCCTTCTGCCGTGCGAGGAGGAGACTGCTTCCAAGTGTCAGAAGGCACTCCGCTACTGTGCCCTTACGGGTAAACCTTCGTCCTCTGAGTTCTACCAGTCCAATGGGAACAAACAGGCGATGCATAATTTAGAACCGACTGGCTAATGGACTTGTACGTTGGTACCAACATTTATTTTTACCCAAAGTGCTGCCGGCGAGCGGTATCTGGCCAAGGACTGTTACTCCTTGTTGCCACTTTGTACTTTGTAGGCAATTGTGGTTGTATGCGCAGAAGAGGGTAAGCTCTAAAATGTTTCGACCGTCGCAATTGGAATGCCATCCACATTGAATCAAAAGTTGGCTGCACCCCAACTTCATTGGAAGCGATTAGTTAAAAGGCCGTTAACACCAGGCGATTGATGCTTTCAACTAAAAGTTGCCTGTAAAATCGCCTCATGCGAACACCGTATGGCTGAGAGAGCTTCGAGAAGCAAAAGTAAAACAGTAGCGGGAAAGGACACCAGCCCTTGGAAGCTGCTAGCCTTCGAGGTATGATCTCGAAATAGTTTATATCATGATGGAATGTAGGGTTTTATATCATTCTGTATCATGGGTTTAGATAAAAAAAAAAAAATGTTGAATCGTAATGGGATTTTTTTTCTTTTGTATTAAAACTTTAAGGTTTTTCTTTGCTTTTAATGTATGTATTTATAAAACTAAGTTTTATTAATCTTTATATTTAAATATAATACATGCATTACATGACTACACCACAATTACACAATACACAATTTAGATGCTAATACTTCCTATTGACATTTGCTCGAGGCGATTTCAATTTGGCCACCAATACTTGGTTTGGAATGCAGAGCTTGTAACAATTCCTGAGGGCTTTCCAATTCTTTGGTCAATAAATCTTCACGCCAACCCGGTTGGCTACATACTTCGTACAAATGTTGCACATCTCTCACAGTCTCTTGCGCATCACCATCTCTATTGCCAGTTTCAATTATTTCGGCGATTTCCTTGTTTAAGGCCTTCTCCAACAACTTTGGTTCATAGTCGGCAATGAGCTGCTTCACTACAGCTTCTAATTCATACAAATGACGATCCTCTTCTCCGGGAAACAATTCACGCATTGCGCTCGCCAAATTGAAAAGGTATTCTCGATTCGGTCCACTTGGCCCCGCAGCTGCGAATATTTGTTGCGCTATTTCCGGTATTTTCCATACATTCCCCGCATACGATGTATTATCTGGTGTTGCTATATACATTGTAATATCAAAGTGATTGTCCGGCTGTTCGGGATACTCATAAAATTGCAAAACACAGCGTTCATAACCGTTCTTTTCGCGATGGTCTAAATGTGCTAAAACTTCATCGCGATGCTCTTCCGAAATACGATAAGCTATGCCATAGACGCGACTCTCTAAACTCACAGCTGGTAACAGTGTTACAACACGGCCCGGTCTCGATTTGGTGCCACGATGATCAATGCTGTTCTGATAGAAAAGTCTCCGGTAACCGCGTATAAAACCACGTTTACGGTCGATAAAAGGAAAGTCGGGTTTCCATATGAGTGAACCATAACCAAAAATCCATACATCGTCCTTCGTGGGTTTGATGTAACGAGTCTGATTAGAGGATGTGTAAAGTGACTTGCACAAATTGTTGGTCGGATCTAACCATGGTGGCTGATCGGGCTCTAATATACGATTTTCAAAGTATTTTTCATAAATATGCTTTACAAGAACTTCAGTGCTGCTGCAAATATCGCCATTCAGTGGCAATTTCAGACCTTTACAAAGCTCTAAAAATTTATCTTTGTTCCTAAGCATTTTTGCTCGCTACTGATTCCTAAGTGGAGGAAATGTTAAGACATTAAATGGGTTTATGAATAAAATGGAATATTCAATTTTACCAAAAATTTTGATTTCGAATGACTTATCACTTTGGAAAATAGGTCTACGGTGAATTATGTTCGCCGACCTAAAGGTAATAAACTTATACTGGAACGATTTCGAATTTCAGCGATCATTGAGGTGGAGTCTCAAAAGTAGATAAATGAATGAACACACTTGATTTCCTTTATCTATGCAAATATCCTTCCTATTCTGAAAATCAGACCAAAGGTCTTCGTTATAGAAAAAGTGACAGCGTTGAACATAAATATTTACAAATTGTAAAATAAACGTCAAAACTGCCGCGTTGCCAACAGCAGTAACACTCTTGAATGCTACCAGAGGTTTTTAATTTATAAATTTAAACCAATTTAAACACACCGGCCAAAGAACGTAAATTTACATTTACCAAAGAACGTACATTTACGTTCTTTGGTACGGCGAATAACGGTTTATAGTCGTTAAAAGATCTACGATGAATAGTGCCATCGTGAACCCCGGCACAACTCCGTTTTGGGTGGTGCCCAATGTTGCCATATTCACAGTTTTATCTGTTAATTACAGTTTTTTAGACAATCTTGCAGTTTTTATAAATCTCCCCTTAATAACAGATGGGCAATTTAGTTCTTTTCAAGGACCATACAGTTGCAGTTCGGTCACCTTAATGAACTAGTTCTTTTAGTTGATGAACACATGTATGACATTTTAAACGCAGTTCAGTTATTTTTATTATAATATTATATTCGAAACAAAAACTTTGGTAATTCGAATTCACAGAATACTTTTACATACATAAAAAACGTGTGTTTAGGAACATAAATCATATAAATAATTATTCAGGCTTTTTTAATCGATATCATACATTTGCAGTAATGGTAATATATTATCATTATTTTTATTACACAAAAATAATATTTAATTTTACTCGTATGCACCATATGTTAGAACGTATTAGCTGGATACAGGGCTTTTATAGTTTTCGTATAAATAAAATACAAAATGAGAAATATTAGCACTGAGAAATTTAGTTCAATGAACTAGTTCTTTAGCTAAAAATAAAATAATAAAATTCAACATTTTTAAAAATTTCGGATTTGAACGAATAAATTAAAATATCTTTCGGGGGTTTTTTTGGGAGCAAATTTGTACGAGAAAAAAGGGCTGTGTAGATGTATCGTATTAGTCATTTCCAAATGCGGTTAAATTAGCATTTGATTCTCCCCAAGCTATTTCAAATGCGACATTACCTCATGGCGCAAATATTATTTATTTAGGTTTCTTCTTTAAGAGCCGTCATTAAAAAATTAAAAAAACCTGGATGAAATTCCGAAACGTACTCATCGTGTTCCTCAGCGATTCCTGCTTCATAGCTCCTTAAATTATTGTTCCAAGGGGCAACCAAAGACTTTTTATCATCTCCGGTCTCGCCCATCAAGTACCAAATCCCCAGGCAGAAATCCTCATCCGACAGTATTATTGGTGCCCAAAATGGGTGATATTCAGTAACGATGGTCTCGGGTTTTCCAGTTGTTGGGTAAGTTGGGCAACGTAGTTCAGCAATCGACGTTGAAACAATCTGTGATATTAATCCGTTATCCTTAAAATCAATGCCCCTGCTGCTAATATATTGAGGATATTTACTTCCGATCTTTTCAATACAATCAGCAACAAGTGCTATATCATCGCGAAGATGATTTATGGAATAATTATCCGGCATTATATCGTTGGGGTTTTCCAGCACGGGGGCTGGGTTAAGTTTTCTACCCCGAACGGAATGTGTTTTCGTTGTACTGAAGTCCCATCGTGCACCAGGTATTGGATTGTATTTGTAAAACTTTCGTCTTATAGGATTTTGATTTCGCGAATTACGGGCCAACTGAGTGACCACGTAGCGGAGATTTGAAAATCGCACATAAATAGGGCTGCAACTTCCTTTAAGTAGACGGGGATGTTTAGGTATAAACGACATTCCACCCTTTTTAAAAAACCCGATTCCTGATAAAATCTTTATCAACGGAGCGAAGCCTGCTCCCATACCTTCCAAGGCGTGACGGTAAGACTCAGGCACAAATATATCTTCGAATCCATGGTTGTCGAAATGTTTGGAATGTTGCCCCTCCATAGCTCCAGCCAGCTTCAGATCAAACTGGAGTAGTGAGATGCGGTATAGTGCATTGGTCAATTTATAAATCCGATCACTGAAATCCTCAACTCCGGGGAATATGTCGAGTCGACTAAGATCTGCGGCTAGTATTCTTATATTTAACCCGATTGCACGCGTACTAACAGGAAGAATCCTAATACACTGATTCTGAGTAATCCATTTGTACTCCATAGTTTTATTTAAACGTAGAAACGATCCTCTTTTTGATTTCTATTTTTTATCACGCCTGCGTGGACAACTAGACCTCAAGCCTTATTCAACAAGTTAGAAATAGTGATGGAAGAGCCGACTGACCTTTTAGCAGGAAAAACTCGACTCTTTCGAATCGAGTTCAGTCGTTCAAGTCGACTCGAATCGACTTTTGTCGACTAATAGGGACCTTACATGATCGATTTCTTTCCTCAAACACGTTGCTACGTTTATGCGTTGGCCAGTTCATGAAATCATTTCATAAAATCACAAACAGCTGTTTACTAGGGTTGATTCAAAAGAATGTAGTGGCAAATCCATTATTTTAAATGCTAAAAAAGTTGCGTGGTGTTGGGCTTATACAGAGTGTCCTAGACACCCGTCCGTCCCCGCAAAAATATAATATAATATACATAGATATAAATATTTTTACTACAAATTCGGATTCCGAAAGTGGGTTAAACTGACCGGAAGTCTATTTTTAAAATAGGAAATACATGTTTTTGCCATTCTGCGAACAAAAATACATAACTTTTGTCGGAAGTTTTTTTCTGGAATGGACCTCCGGTTAGAATAATCCAATTCCAGTCTATTAAAAAAAAAAAAACATTTCCGGTTGGAGCCCCAGGTCTGTAATACGATCAAAAGATAGAGCATCTCCGACTTGGTAATTGATTTTTTTTTCGTTTTCCAATAAAAAAAAAACTTTAATTTAAGGCAGCGCCACATGGAATTTATTTTCTGCGTCACAGGGATCCTTTTCACTGGCAACCAAAAAACGGGACATTGGTAACCCATGCATTGCCGCAACTGATAAAATTCGCCTAAGAACAGCAAAAATGTATGGGACGAATTCAATAATTCAGCTAATTTTTGATGAAACCGAATCAAAATAGCGTTCCTGTTTCGATTTCGTTTTTCCAATTTCGGTTTCGGTTTCAGTTGTGAAATAAAATAATGAAAACAAGTTTAACGAAAAAGATTGTTTACTAAATAAATTTGCACCTTCCAAGATTCGCAAATTTTTTTTGCTACATTAAACACTGAGATTAATTTTAATTCAAACAAAGAAAACACCTCTGAATCACTCACGCTCACAAGTCGCAAATTGCCTATCAGCTTAAAAGCCAATTTTTCGTTCAAATTCAACTGCTGATCGATCATAGCTTTGTGAGGTGAGCGTTTGTTTACAGAAAATGGTGTGGTTATTAAAATATGAAAAATAAAATAAAATAGACAGAACCCTACGTGAGACAATTCATATGTGTTAACAAATTCAACGCAATTTCTTGAACGTGTGAATGCAAATTATCGCTTGCTTGGTTTTACTTGGACCTTACACGATCAAGAACTTCCTTTAAGTTCTAATATACTTACACTTTTTTAATAATACACTCGCACTTTTACTACTTCATCTTCGACTTGCCAGCCTGCAGAGAAACGTAAATTTTACCGACAGTGCGTCTTGTACAATTATCTGTATCCGGAAATGAACAGAAATCGACTACAACTTCCGTTCATTTACGTATCCAAGAACGCCCAAAAACCAACGCGGGGTTTCGTACCCGGAAAGTAATAGAAAACAACTGCAGTTATCATTCATTTTCGTATACGGAAAGCGTTCGAAAAAGACGGCTGTTATTTGAAAGAAATAATGGTATTTTATTTGTTCACGTTGAACACTTGAAACCTTGTATATGTAGTTGGCAGTGACAAAGCGTGCCACTAGTTGTAAGCTTCCAGAAGGTGCCAGGTTCGAATTCCGTCGGGCGGAAAAAACCATCTGTGAAGTGCAGAAGGAAAGCGTATTGAACGAAAAATTCAATCAGACAAATTTCAGAAAAACAGTCCAAAACGTCTCCATTTCGCAAAAATTTTTGGTACTTGTCTGCCGCCCACTTTAGCAGGAAAACGGATCGTCAAAGTATACGAAATGGAATCGGCCAACGGAAAAAAATCACATTTTTTCCTTTTTGGGATCGTTTTTCGGATTTTTTTTCTGGCTGATAGTCAAGTCAAATAGCTGATCACATTTAGTCTGTTCCATTACTCGAACATTTATTTAGATTTTGTGTCAGATAGATGTGTGTACAGGAACCTGGCGAGAATTTTAGGCTGTCTGTCTTTTGGCATCTTTATGATAAAACCAAAGAACGTAGATAACAAGAAGAGACACCTCGTTATAATTGTGGCGAAAGTGCGCAACAGGGGCGTGACTTCTCTTTTCATCAAATCAAAAAACGCATTAGGGCAAAAGGGAAGGCACGCCCCTGTTCCGCACTTTCGCTACAATTATAACGAGTTGTCCCTTCTTGTTATTTACGTTCTTTGATAAAACCATTGAGAGGCAGTCTGACGTTTACCAGCAATTTTATTTAAAATGAAAACCTCAAACTCACACACGCATTCTCATTTTCAATCTCAAACAACAACAATTGTGAACAATTGCTTTTTTTAATTTTCAATTTTATATGATTTTAAAATGCTTGCAAACGTCAGAAAAACATCATGGCCGACGAATTGAGAGAATGAATTTACCTTGTAATGTTTTTATCATGGCCATCCTGAAACGAAAATTGACTATCAAGTTTCGTGCAGCCTACGTCACAGCTGTCAGTTCGAATGAAGTTTGACAAGCGGGTATGTGTGATCAGCTTGAAAGCAAGTTCTTGATCGTGCAACGACACGGTTATGCTAAGAAAGAAGTTTGTGCTTGCTAGATTCTGCAGGTGATTTTAATAGTTTTCTCGAAACCGATTGGAACTAGGGCTGCAAAAGTTACGAAAATTTGGATACCCGTATGTATCCGTTACTAATCCAATCAACACCCGTTACTTTCGTATCGTTACCGTATTCGTTACTTTTGATACAAGCACCTTGTACCTCATACCGATTATCGAATTTT